TATACTATGTATGTGCAATGTGTTTTTCTTTCTCTCCACCCTAGAAGGCAAGCACTGTGTGGATAAAGCTATCTGTCGTTCTCTTCCCTACTGCATCTCCAGCACTTAGAACAATACTTGGAGTGCCTGGCTGGCAGATGCAAATTTTTTGTTCAGTGAAAGAATATACTTCCAGAAGGCAGGAAGAAGAAAAGGGAAGAGGAGAGATGGGAAATATCTAAATCAGGAAAGCAAAAATAATTTCCCAGAAATCCCTAGCCAACTTTCATTTACATCTCCTAGGCCAAAACCATGTCACATGACCACCCTCTGCTGCAAGGGTATCTGGAAAGAATATTTCTAATTGTGTGCGCTGCCCTCCTTACACAAAATTACTTGTAAATAAGGCAAGAGAAGAATGGATATCAGAAAGGCAGCCTATAATGTCCACCACATGAATCTATCCTGGACCTAAAGAAGTGGGATCTCTGAGGGTGGTCATTTTGATGCAGGTGAATTGTTGTAAGAAAAATGAACAGAATAATAGAATGAGCCATCCTGGGTGAATGGACACACTGGTCATAGACCTGTTTGGTTAACTGTTAGAGCATACCCTAATCTCCCTGTTATCCTCATCGTTTTGTATTTTTTTTTTTTTGAGAAATACCTTTATTTGCACCCCTGCCCACATATACATGGTTACAGCTGTAGAACTCTTGGAGGTATTATTCATATATCATGTTCCCACCCACCTGACCCAAAACACTGAATCAGAATCACATTACCATGAACTTGGCACTGGGACTGAGACGCTAAGTCTCTCTGGATGACTGGATCATGTAAACAGAGCTGCTGGCAGAGAGATCTTCTACGTCGTGAACTGGAGCAGCCAAGGAAAGAGCAGGGACCCCACACAGAAAGAAAGGAGGTGAAAGAGAGAGGGTCTTGTGGTGTCTGAGTCCCTGGGAGTAGGCTATTACCAAGGCCTGTTCTGTTCTGTTCTCACCCTTGGCGTCCACTGCACACTTCTGTTCCCATTTTGCTCAGGCCAGCTTAAGCGAATCTTTAGTCCTAGCTAAGAGTTCGTTCTCTCTCTCTCTCTCTCTCTCTCTCTCTCTCTCTCTCTCTCTCTCTCTCTTTCACACACACACACACACACACACACACACACACACACACACACACACCACCCCTAGGCAATGAAAACAGAAGGAAGTAACTCTGGAGACCAGGTGCCGAGTCTTGGAGGAAGAAGTGAAACATGGCAGTTTCTTTATCAACAGTCAACAAAGGCCTGGGCCAAGGGTGAGTTCTTCCGGCTGCTTCGTGGAGCTCTGGACAACCACCCGCCCCCCCTCAGCCACACGGGTGAGCCCTCTGCTAACGGGAGGAATGAGCGCTTCTAGAATAGGAGTGGAGGTGAAGGGTCTGCAGATTTGGTTTTATTTCCAACCACCCTGCCCATGACTTCCACTGCTTGTAAAACATGCAAGGTGCCTGTCAGGTCTCTGAGGTACAGATGGCTCAGACAGGTCCTGTAGCACAGAAGAAAACAAAATATGGGTCCTAAAGTCTCCAAGTCCAGTGTTATTACTAACCAAGCGTTAGCCCAGGCTCCACATGTCCCGTTTTATTGCACTCGTTTTATTGCGCTTCCCAGGTGTTGCGTTGTTTTTGCAAATTAAAGGCAAGACCCACCATGACAAAAAGGATGACTACTCTCTTTATTACAGTAGTCTGGAACGGAGCCCACAGTCTCTCTGAAGTATGTCTACAGTCAGTGGCCCCAAATATCATCTATAAGCCAGTGGCAATCATTCCCACCGGGGAGGATACAATGAGCCTAAGTGTAAAGCACCTGACACAACACCTGGCAAGTCCCTCTCAAAAAGCAGAGCCGCCCCAGCCCGGAACCCTGTCACAGGCAGGGCTGGAGCCCAGGGTGAGGCAGGGAGCCTCTCCAGGAAAACTGTCACCGCCAAAACAATGCTTCACGGCGTGTTGTGCAACCGACCAACCCGTCCTTTCTGGGAAGCCAGGGGCTCGGGGTTTGTTTTCTTAGCAGCAGCGACCACTTTTCATTTCCTTCCTGCTATAGAGAGCCAATCGCCAGAACCCAAAAGGGAGGGAAAGAGGCCCTGGGGAGAGATGACAAGGGAAAGGTAGTGTTTATTTTAACTTGATGCCCACCATGTGCCAGGCATGTCTACCTGCTTTGCCGTACGCACATCATTGGCTGTTTTAGCTTGTCTTGGCGCAGACCTGGAGGCGCAGACGGGGCAGAGCTGTCAAAGGCTATTTATCTGGACAGCATCTAGGCAGTTCTGAAATCTGCTAATAGTTCAGAATTAACAGGGCGGGGATGCTACGAGAACATGAACAGCTGCGGCTGTGGCTCTGGCACAGACGTCAGCCTAGAGCCTGGGACCTGCCTCTTGGCCATGCTAGGCAGACGCGTCTCCTTTTATTAAGCAGCCAGTCTCCTTTTATCAACTGCAGCTGGGCTCCCTGTGCCACTAAACCCACATTAGGAAAACAAGGGAGAGAAAGATGGGAGGAAATAAAAACGGGAGTAAAAGTAGGAAGAAACAAAGGGAAGAGAAGGCAGGCAACCAATGCTGTAACGATACTCATTCCTTTATTGTTGACTGTTAATTTGAACAGGGACTGGGGCCTGCGGGCTGCTGGCAGCACCAGGGTGCAGGTGCATTTCTTGTCATCTAAGCCAAGGAGACAGAGGGCAATGTTTTATATATATATATATATTTATATATTACATATGTAATATACGGGCCACTGCATTAGCTGTTGTCCTAAATAAAGATCATAGCGACAGACACAGAAATTTGGTCCTAATCAGGGCCCTTACTTTGTCAACCAAATGTCTGATACATCAAAAGAAAGAGAGAGAGAGAGAGAGAGAGGGAGAGAGAGAGAGAGAGAGAAGCAGAGAGGCTGAGATCCAACCACCTCAGTGGCCCTGTTCCCAGCATATCTTACACTGAGTGTAGAGTATCCCCAGTGGAGTTAAACACACACAAACACGCACATACATACACACATACACAAAACTGCAGGCAGGAGCTCCTCCTCTGACCATACCTTGGGCGCAGCCCTCAGACCAGGGGCGGTGAACTTGGGAAGATTGTGCTATAAGACTGTGAGGGTCGAGTGACCAGACAATGCAGAGTCAATGGGTCCAAGTGGCGAATGGGGTGATACATGCTGCTTCATCCACAAACGAGAAGGAGGTCACTGTGCCCAGGCCACCTGGGGGATTTCTACACACAACTCCTGTCCCAGCCTCAGCCGAATCAAGTATCTGAATTCTGAGTCTCAAATAATCTCTTGGGCTCTGATGAAAAAATGTGATATCCTTGATGGACAGGAGCAAATGGTAACTGAGTTGCCCAACCATCTAGTCCAGAAATGGCAGCAGAAATGGCAGCATATTGATTAAAAAACAAAAAAACAACAACAAAACAAAACAAAAAAAACACACAATAGCTTGGTCCTCAGAGCAGAACTTGAAAAGTGTAAAAAGGGTTACGGTAATTTCCTGATGGAAAGAGAATAACCAGGCAATCAGACCCACCATCACCTCCCACACACTAAATTTCAGGCACATCAGTCAATTTTATGCTTTTAGATAATGACTACATTCCTCCTATCCTAGGAATTGTAGACTCCCACTACTGGGGCACTTTAAAATCCCAAACCATCAGTTTTCTCTCATGATTACCTCTTCAAACCTCCACCAACACACATACTTTAAAAAGTCAATGAAAATTAATCTCTTTTCTTTTTTTGGTAGAAATTTACTTATCACTTGAGATACCTGGAGACATCTTGGGATGTCACAACGGAAGGTGGAGAGCACTTCCATAGGGACCAATTTCCACAATGCCGAAGACGGGGTTAGTTTTCAACAAAACAGAGCCCAACACATGTGACTCAGAAGCAGGGGGAATAGGCCAAGCTGGCAGATCGTGCCCCAGTCTCCGTCTCCTGTGCTAGATATTTGAAGGGGGAAGCAACAGGTGCCGACACCTTTGCTGAGCCGGGGGCGGGGATAATGACATCGCTCCCTCCACTATGAACTGGGATCCAGGCAGCTACAGGGAAGACATTCGAAGCAGGAAGGAGCAGCATCTCAAAAACAGGGAGTTGGCTTGGACCACTGGTTGACCAAAGTTACTTCTTGGAGGGGCACAGACACAAAGGACATGGGAGGAGAGGAAGGACTTCCCTTGGTGACTGTCCGCAGTGTCTCCATTCCTGTTCCATTTCCTGCAGTGTCTCCATTCCTGTTCCATTTCCTGCAGTGTCTCCATTCCTGTTCCATTTCCTGCAGGTCCGAGGAGGCAGCAACTGGTTGGTTCACAATTCCTACCCGAGGCTTGGGAAGGAGAGCAGGAAGCAGCCTGGGAAGCCATGGATTCTTGCCAAGCTGAAGAGCATGGGCTGGGAAGGGGAGGTCTTTTAAGTCTTTGAGGAGCCCAAGAAGCTGAACAAGGTTTTCTGAGGCCCAGAAGGTGCTGGGAGCACTGTCAGGACCTCTCCTGTCCTCAGGGGACACCCAGAACGTGCTTAGGAGCTGCTGGCCCCCAGCACAGGAGGAGATGGAGGTTTTGGAGACAGGTAGAAAAAGTCCTCTCTTCTCAGACACTGGCCACCTTCCCTTCGGGGGAGGACTGACGGAGAGGAGCTTGAGGTCTGGCTGGGGGGAGGGGGTCTATAGTCAGCAGAAAAGGAGGCTATGCAGTGACCACGGCAGGCTCAGGCGAGGGCCTCTCCCCACACTAACTGAGCTCCGTGAATAAATAACATTAATTAAATAAAGGAGGCTGAGAAGAGCAGGCAGAGGCACGGTCTGCCGGAGTCTCACCCCCTCACACATACAAACACACGCACACACACACACACACACATACACATACACACACACCAAGCGGCAGGTGAGATGATCCAGGGTTGGCGATCCCATCTGCCTGTCAGACGGGCAGCCTAAGTGAAGGCTGTCACTCATGGTCTGGCACTGTCGCAGGGCGCAGAGCAGCGGAGGCCAGTGAGGCATGTGCGGCGGAGGGTGGAGGCCGCTGAGGACTCTGGCACCTGCAGGGGGTGGGGATAAGTGGGTGAAAGGGGAAGTTAGGGAAGAGGGCAGTGAGGAACGTCCATTCTCTCACCTGTTGCTGTAGAAACTCCTCCCCCACAATCCCAGTCATCACCCCCCTTCACGCCCTCCGGTAGCCCGGCAGCCGGTGCAGTCTCCCTGCCTCCGATCCTAAGGCCGTTCATTGCCCGCTCTGCTCATGGTGGTACTGACCAGGATCTGGATTTTCGAACTTTCGATGTGGAGGGTCTTTCCAGAAAGCTGTCCAACCGCATGAGCCTCTCCATGTGTAGTGCACGGGGATCTTGGTCTTGGTCATGAGAGAATTCTATCTCAAAGACAGTTGGAGGGGACACGTCCAACTCCAGGAACATGATGTTTTCAGCCTGTGGTAGGAGCATCATACCAGACATAAGCAGCAGCAGCCCCATGACTGTACCTTCTGGGCGCTCAGTAAATACGGGGTGCAGCAAGGGTGATGAGGTAGGTTGGAGGAAGCAGAGGCTGTGAGCAGCACCTCCCCTGGGCCCTCTCTCCCCTCCCCTTCCCCCTCCTACTTTCCAGCTTCTTACCCTGTACCTGGGGTGGGACCCCATTGCCATGGCAACCCGAGCATACTGGCTGATAGGCCTCTTGTAGCCCACTGCAGACGTTGGCCGCTTCTTCATTTGGCTGTTGTTGCTGTAGGGGAGAGGCTGTATTAGAATGGATTTCCTTCAAGCACAAAGGGAAGACGATATTCTGAGGAAGTATCATTCAGGTAGGCAGAAGGCCTAGCAGATTGCAGGTTTCTGGAATTTTCTTCTCTTTTCTCTAACACAACCTCACAACTGGCGAGGTACAGAAGGAAAAAAGGTAGGGTCTAGGTAGAGAGGGGTAAAGTGAGGGATGTGTGTGTGGGGGGATTAGGAGACATCTGTAATAATGTCAGCAATAAAAATAAAATATTATTTTTAAGAAGTGATACCGAGTCAACTGGATTATGCACAGGCAAAAAAATGAAGTTGGACCCTTACCTTGCACCAAATATAAAAATTAACCCCAAATGGATCATAATCTAATCTATAAAACTTTTCAAATAAAACATAGTAGTAAATCTTTAGGATCTTAAGTTATGCAGTAGTTTCTTACCTTTGATATCAAAAGCTCAAGTAACTAATGAAAAAAAATAGGTAAGTAGGACTTCATGAACACTACAAACTTTTTGCTTCAAAGGACAGTATAAAGAAAGTGAAAAGACAATCTACAAAATGGGGGAAATATTTGCAAATCATATATTTGATAAGGAACTTGTATCTAGAATCTATAGATAACTTTTATAAATCAACCGCAAAAAAGACATGCAACCCAGTTTAAAAATGGGCAAAGAAGCTAAATAGCCATTTCTCCAAAGAAGATATACAAATGGCCAATGAGCACATGAAGAGATGCTCAACATTATTAATTATAGCCAAACCCTGTTTCTCGAATGTCTCCCATCTCCAACAATTTGGTTCTTGACTGTTCACACAAAAAATGTCTCGGTTGTCGACCAAAACTTCAGTTTTCAACCTGACAACCCTTTCGTGCTGAATTGAACCAGTGACCTCTTGGTTCATGGGTTAACTTTCAACCACTGAGCCACATTGGCTGGGCATATTTTAAGATTTTAATATGACAATATATAGATGCATATATATTTTTATGTATATATTCTCTTGTTGATGGTTAGCGAGGTTGATTTCCCCCACCTCCCCACCATTAAATACATTTCTGTACAGGTATCTTCAAGTACATATTCAACAGATTCCCTGGGGTAAATACCCAGGAATGGAATGGTTGATGGTTGCATTGGAGGGTATGTGCATCTCAACTTTCCTAGATATTGCCAAGTTGCTTTTCGAAGTGGTTATTCCTATGAAAATTTCCATTGCCAACTCACGGTATGTCAGACTTTTTACTTGCAGCAATTTGATGAGTGTAATGTATTACTGGACTGTTAGAAACAGAAAAAGATAGGAAAGAATACAAGAAAGTTACTTTAATTTAAAATAAAACACCCCACACAGGATTTGGAGGAAGATAGACGGGGTTTGAATGCTCGTTCCGAGAGCTTTGAGACCTCAGGAAGTGGCTTCCTCTCTCTGAGCCTCCGCTATGGCAGCCTGTCCTCCAGCAAGGCTGAGATGAACCAAGACAAACACCGAGCACGGGACACCACACGGACGCTGCACCTGGCCTTGTGATGATGACTTATTCTCAATGCCACTTGCTCATTTCAGGCAGGGACACAAATGAGCAACGAAAGAAGCCAAAAGGCAGACAGCTAGAAGACAGAGGAGGGGACGAAATGGGCAAGTAATTCACAGGTAGGACGCTCTGTCCTTGAACATAGCAAGGCAGGCAGGAGCCCACGAACAATGCCTGCCGTCTGCAGGGAGAGCAATAACATCCTTGTGGTCCATTTTATGAAAGGTGAAAGAAGAGTGCGGGGCCCCACCTGGGGCCCCCGCTGACTCCTCTTTAGAGAGGAAGGCGAGAATGGATGAGGCTGCAGAAATCACATCTCTCAGGCTCTGCTGTGGTGGAGCCCTGGAGGCTGTGCACCTGAGAGGATAGCACAAGTGACAGCTCGGAAGGCGGCGGGGGAATGAGAGAAATAATAGCTTATCATATATAAGAAGAGCCTACATAGCCCATTTGAATTGGACACCAGCCTCCTGAGGTGCAGACAGGGCAGACACCAGGCTGTCTTTGGTGTCCAAGGTCATCTGATTAGAAAGAGACAGGAACCGAATCTTCCCGGATATTCCACGATGCTGTACTGTCTCAGGAGTACACGTGAACCGGCCTGGGGTTGAAGTGCACTTTGAAGGCTGCAGGCTCTGAGACAGGACAGAAGGACACGGCTGGGCTGGGCTGGGCTGGGCTGGGCTGGGCTGGGCGAGCAGAGCAGTGGATCAGTTTGAATTGGCAGCCTGACCCCACAAAGATGCCAGGGCTATTCTGGGTGGCATGCGGGAAGAAGGGGTTGGGGGAGGGGCGTCTGTAATTGGGACACCAAACTCCCCTTCTACTCCCTCTTCTGCCCCAGGCCTACTTTCCATGATCGACCCTCTGCAGTAGGCCAAAGAGCTAAAGCTACGATAGAATTTTGTGAACTGTAAACCATGTGCTACAGACACTGCCCAATATCCAACCCTTAGGAGATAATTTTGTATAAACACAATTAAAAATAAAGTCTTGCCGGGACCGGTTTGGCTCAATGGATAGAGCGTCTGCCTGCGGACTAAAAGGTCCCGGGTTCGATTCCAGTCAAGGGCATGTACCTTGGTTGTGAGCATATCCCCAGTGGGGGGTGTGCAAGAGGCAACTGGTCGGTGTTTCTCTCTCATTGACGTTTCTGACTCTCTGTCCCTCTCAATTCCTCTCTGTGTAAAATCAATAAAATATATTTAAAAAAATAAAGTCTATTATGAGAAATAAGAAAATAAGAGGTCATACTCGAAAAAGTTATTGCTACAGCTAGTTGAAAAAATTGTTGGTGATTAAGGCAGGCACCTTACCTGAAGATGTTGTGTGTCAACCAGTAACCACATAGGAATAATGGTGAAAAAAAATAGAAGACAGGCTTCCAAAATAAGTTGAAAGGGGCATGTTTCAAGAGTTTCCTGATAGCCCTAGCCGGTTTGGCTCAGTGGATAGAGCATCAGTCAGCAGACTGAAAGTCTAGGTTTAATTCTGTTCAAGGACACATGCCAGGTTGAGGGCTTGATCCTCAGTAGGGGGCGTGCAGGAGGCAGCTGATTGTGGATATTTCTCTCTCTCTATCCCTCCCCCTAAAATCAATAAAAACAGGTGTGTTTTTTTTTTAATTAAATAAAATATATCCCTTCTCAGTTACGGATTATAGAAGACTAAAGCAGCATGACAAATTCGATGCACCATCTCCAGTGTGTGGATTGGGGGAGGGGAGGAAACTGCCATAAAGGACATTATTGTGGTACTGGATAAAAGTGAAGATTGCTTATATAATAGTATTGTGTTGATATGGAATTTCCTAAGTTTTGTATTGTCGTTATGTAAGACAATGTCCTCATTTTTAGGAAATACAGGTGATGGGCCAGGACATCTGCAGCTTAATCTCAAAGTGGTAGGGTGGAGGAGTTATTAATAACACAAGAGATGGCAAAATATTAATTGGTGAATGTTCATGAGGGTATATAGGAATTCTTTGTATCATTCTTGAAATTCTTATTTTTCAAAATAAGAAGTTTAAAATCACATCCCTTCTCAGATTTCATCCCATATCTCTAGCCAACACAAAGAAATTCCTCCAACTGCAAACTTTAAACTGAAGTTTTCTAAGCACAAGATCACCCTAGAGCAGAAGCTTCACTAGCATTTCCTTCCAGAAGAGGGCGCTGGAGTAGTAGTTTTTGAGCTTGGCTTCCTTGTAGGGAGCCTCACCTGGAAGCTTTGAAAAAAAAAAAATTGTCCTGGGATCCACCCAAGATCCTTTAAATCGGACTCTTTGTAGCCCAGCTTACAGGTGATTCTAGCTTTGTCCAGGGTGGAGAATGCCTGCATTAGATGCCGTACTACCTGGATTGGAAACGTAGATTTTAAATCCAAAAATGACACCTTTGAAAAGTCTTCTACTCATGAACTTGCCTCTTACAAACCTGTGTAGTGTCCCCTTGGGTAGGTTCAGCCTTTCAGAAAGCAGTCAGATGAAGCAGCACCTGATGCTCCAGTGAGAAGCTCAGACCTATACGGCTAGCTTTCCAACCAGCTCAGGGGGGACTCCTGCCCTATTTGGCATTAATATTTGTAGATGCAAAGAGCAAAGAATCTCTGGGTGAGTGCATTGGTATTTGGCCTCCTAAATACCTCTATGTACATCACTGAGGCTACAGGACTGAAACAAAAGCAAGGTGTCAGCAGGATTGGTTTCTTCTAGAAGCTCCAGGGCAGCGTCTGTTCCTTGCCAATGCCAACCTCTAGAGGCTGTGGGCATCCCTCGGAAGCCTTCGCCTCACAGCTACGTCATTGTGGTCTCTTGTTGCTGTTGTTACATCTCCTACTTCTGGAGTCTCATCTTCCTCTGCCTTCCTTTTTTATTTCTTTAAATATATTTTATTGATTTTTTTACAGAGAGGAAGGGAGAGAAGTTAGAAACATCGATGAGAGAGAAACATTGATCAGCTGCCGCCTGCACACCTCCTACTGGGATGTGCCCGCAACCAAGGTACATGCCCTTGACTGGAACCGAACCTGGGACCTTTCAGTCCACAGGCTGACGTTCTATCCACTGAGCCAAACCACTTTCGGCTCTGCCTTCCTTTTTTAAAGATACTTGTGATTACATTTAAGGTCCACCTGGACAAGACAGGAGCATCTCCTCAAGCCCCTTAATTTAATCATACCTGCAGTCTCTTTTGCCAGATAAGGTCATCTTCACAGGTTCCAAGAATTAGGACCCTACAGAGCAGAAGCCTCACTGGTATTTCTTTGGAGGCCATTACTCAGCATTCCACAGGGGTAATGTAAAGATTCTGCATATCCTTTTTTATTTAATTTAATTTAATTTATTTTTTTTCATTTCATTTTTCTTTTTTAAAAAAAATATATTTTATTGATTTTTTACAGAGAGGAAGGGAGAGAGCTAGAGAGCTAGAAACGTCGATGAGAGAGAAACATCAACCAGCCGCCTCTTGCACATCCCCTTCCAGGGATGTGCCCGCAACAAAGGTACATGCCCTTGACTGGAATCGAACCTGGGACCTTTCAGTCCACAGACCGACGCTCTACCACTGAGCCAAACCGGCTTCGGCTGCATATCCTTTTTTAGTGAATGGTGTAGTGATTTACTTAATGTGAAATGTGTAATAAACTGTATAAATTTGTAATTTGTAGTAATTTGTTTAATGTGTCCATCGCTAAGTTTAATATATAACTTGAGTAAAAATATATAATAATTTAAAAATAAACCTTCTATATACACAGATTTTCAATTAAGGGACAGAGGCACTTCCAGCTGAGGGAGGCAGTCTGTTGGGTTTAAATATCCGGCCTTGTTCGTGGCTACCAGCAGAGGGAGCTGCACACCCAGCCAATGGACCCAAACTGCCTAAGGGCTAGGATGTGGAAACAGGTGGAAATGCTGAATCACGGAGCTGAGTGAAGCTATAAAGATTGGGTCCCACCTCTGTCATTTCCTGATCTAGTTGATTCCCTGAATTCCCCACCGGCTTTGAATGCTGACTGAGTTGGATTTACCTTGTCTGCAGAGTCTCCCATGGTGCTCGACACACAGGAAGGTAAATATTAACTATTACTGCTGCTCTTGGCACCAGACAAATGAAAACTCATCAGACTGGCCAAATGTTAGCATTCACTGGGATTGCCAAGAGGCTGAGATTGCTCTTCCCCCCTCTTCAGGCCTTTCATACAAAACTTTCTGCATCCCACCGAAACCGGTTTGGCTCTGTGGACTGAAAGATCCCGGGTTCGATTCCAATCAAGGGCATGTACCTTGGTTGCAGGCACATCCCCAGTAGGGGGCGTGAAAGAGGCAGCTGATCAATGACTCTCTCATTGATGTTTCTAAATCTCTACTCTGTATCTCTCTCCCTTCCTCTCTGTAAAAAAAAATCAATAAAATATATTAAAACAAAAACAAAAAACCTTTCTGCATCCCAGGCTAAGGAGACACTTTTTTTGGGGGGTGGGGAGGTGGAGACACCCTTTCTTCACGGAGACCCCTACATCAGGTCCTGAAAAATCCATCCTCCCTCCGTATCATCCCCTTAGCTCTCCAATCTATAGAAACCTGTCTCCCCACAGGCCCCTGGCCATCTCCACCCTGGCCCGAGTCCCGAGGCCCAGACGACTGGGGTGAGAGACTCACACTCCGGCTGGCACGAGTGGCTGGAACTTCCACTGCTCCTCCTCGCAGTCCAGGAAAAGCCGGTTCATGATCTTGTTCTTCTCCTCAGGGGGGATGAAGTTCTCAATAATTAGGTACCTGGGAGCAGAAAGAAGGTAGAGATGGGAATTGGGGAGAGAGACCCCTCTTCCCCCTACAAATATGTGAAGCTGAAGGATCAGAAGTAAGAAGCAAAGAGGCAGAAAGAAGGGACACAGGAGGAGAAACCAACACGTTGGGGGAGGGGAAATAACAGGCCTTGAAAATAACTTCTAACGCAAAGAGCTCAGGGCCAAAGGGGTTCCTTTCGGCCAGCACCCAGCATGCACTTGGGGGGAGGGGCAGTGGTCATCAAGTGGAGGCTGAGGAGGGAAGGAGGTGGAAGAAACTCCAGAACTTAGGCCCGTCCCTCATCCCTCCGCCGCGTTATTCCTAAGACATGTGGACTCATGGGTGACCGGCGGGATGAGGCCATCAGGAAGGAGAAGATCCTGTCGGGAGAAGCTCGGGGGCCCACGGGATGGCTACGGGCCAAGAACGGGAAGAGGAGGGAGCCTACTTGAGCTTGAGCTCCCGGGTCTGCTCGTTCTGCGCCTCCTCCAGGTCCTGCCGCACACGGATGTACTCGTCATGCTGGTCCTGGATCTCCGCCTTCACCGCCTGCAGCTTGGCGTAGAGCTGGGTGGGGGCAGGTGCAGCTCAGAGGCCACCCAGGCTCAGGGTCCCGGGCTCAGCACAGGGTGAGGCCAGGGCCAGCTCTGAGTCTCTCTCCTGCGGCTCCATCACGAGTCAGGACGGGTGACTCAAAGGCTGCTCTGTCCCTCCTTCATGCTGGCCTGCTACCTGCTCTCTCAGCTGCTGTCAGCAGCACGGAATGTTCAAACTGGAAGGGACCCTGGGACCTTTTGGTTAACACCATTTTTCCATAGTGAGGAGTCTCCGGCGGAGACTTGCTCAAGCAGAATCAGGGCCAAAGACCAGGGTTTAGGCAGAGGAGGGGGTCTGAGCCAGTTTGGAAGGTGAACCACTCACCCCACTCCTACCTCTCCAGGGGTTCTCAGAAGTGGGAGTGTGGAGGGCAGCACGGGCCCTGCTGCCCCGCTCCTAGCCACTGAGGGTGAGTCTGGGAACTGCCACTGTGATGGGGCCACTGCCTGGCCTACTCCGGGGCAGCCACATTGGCAACCCTCAGAGCTCTCCAGGTTCTTCCTAGAGTCCAGGCTGAGACGTGCTGCTTCCTACCCTCGACCCTCATCTCAGGCACACACCTCCCCCGGGCATTGCCTTTGCAGGGTTCTGGTGATGAGATGTTCTCATCTCTTCACATGCTCTTGAGGGCCCTGTGCTTCCTTCTGGGAGCTCCCCCAGGCACGCCACTGCCCTGGCCCTGCTCCCGGCCCAGCTATCCAAGCTGTGACTCATTGGCGACACTGTAAAGGAGTAAGTTACCCAGCACCATAAGGACAATCACCCTGGAGACCAGAAATGACGGTGTTCCCAGCCCATCAGGCCTAGCCTGCCCCAAGAGAAACAGCTTTCTTCCACCCTAACACCAACACCTGCCTTCCCCGCTCCGCACCCCAGCAGCCCAGGCAATGGAACTGGGTTCAGCAGTTCAAGCAAAGTGGAAAGAGGACCTAAAAGACACACCCCTTGGACGGGTGACTGTCCTAGGCAGAGGCTGCCAGGCCCTCACACACCCAGACCCCGTCCTGCTGTGACATCTCACCTTTAAAAAAAAAAAAAAAAAAATATATATATATATATATATATATATATATGTAAATATATATCTATTTCTATTGGTTTTAGAGAAAAAGGGAGAGGGACTTAGAAACATCAATGATGAGACTCATTGACCGGCTGCCTCCTGCACATCCCCTACTGGCGATCGAGCCTGCAGCCCAGGCATGTGCCCTGACCGGGAATCGAACCAGGGACCCCTCAGTCCACAGGCCGACATTCCATCCACTGAGCCAAACCAGCCAGGGCGCATCTCACCTTCTTGAGTTTCTTGGTTTTGACCTCCACCTCCTGTTGCAGGGATGTGTAGGTGCCCCGGAGCTCCATGGTCTCCTCGTCGCGGAGCATCATCTCCTGTTGCATCTCCCGCTCACGGCGTTTCTAAGCCAGGGCAGGGCACAGGGGCTCAGGGCAGCAGCACATACAGGGAAGGGCAAGGGAGCTCAGGGACTGGCTCACCCCGCCTCCCGTGGGACATGGCTGCCCTATGGCCCCGGCTGCCAGGAGGGGAAAGGGAGGGTAGCATGGCCCACATCCCTGGCTCCCACCCCAACCTCAGTGAAGCCCCTCCTCTCTGAACCTTCTTCTCGGCTCCTATGGCCATGCCTTTCCCAGGCACTGCCCCTGTGGGTGGAGACCCAGCCCTAATCGCTGGCACATTCCAGAGGTGTCAGTCACTTACGCAGACAATCTGCATGGGCTTCTCAGCTGCCCCACCATCTCCCCACGTAGTGTTACAGTTGACTGGGAAGAACAACCAATTGTGGTTCATGATAATTCAGGGCTTAGCCATACACTTGGCCAGGGACTCGCACCTTGGGGAAGGCCCAGGAATTCGTGCCCGGTGCCGTGGAGGCTGACAGAGTGGAGAGCCACCGCTTTCTCTCACCCACCAGCTAGCAGTGCCCCTGCCAGAGACAGGCCCTGGGCTGGTGGACCCACGGGATCCAGGGCAGCTTGTCTGAGGTTCTCAGCACTGGCCCAAGGATCCTGAGTCCAGGATGGCTGACTGCCCAATGCCCCTCAGACATGACCTCAAGGCCATGCACCCCCAGGGACCCGAGGCCCCAGTCCTACCTGCTCGGCAATCTCCTGCCTCTTCAGTTCCAACATCTTTTGCTGCTCGTTTGTGTGATCCATGATGTTCCTGCCCCCGATGAGCAGCTTGCTCTCCATGGCCTGGGGATACAGACAGGGTTAGAGACAGGCTTTTTAAAGGGGCACCGGATTCCCAGGTTGAGAAGTTCTGCTCCTCTGTCCTCTGTGGTCCTTCCAAGAAGGGACACAAGATGTATCCCAATGGGGCCTTCAAGCGTTTTCCTGCAGTTTCTTGGGCCCCAGCACAAGGCTCCCATTGTCGGCAGGACCATTAGGTAAGGAGAGGGGATCCCTCAGGGAACGTAGGGCACCTGATCTGTTCGCTTTGGATCCAGATGGAAGGTGGTTCACGGGCCTGGGAGGGCAATGTAATCCTGGCACTCAGCACCCAGCTGGTGTTCGGGAGGGGGAGACAGAAGATAGTCCCTGGGCGGCCCAGCTTTTTGGATGACTATCTCCTGATGCAGGAAGAGGGCTCTCAACACAGGCAGTGGAAGAGCCTAGTTGTAGGCGGACATGGAAAGCAGAAGAGAAGCCAAAGGCAGGAGACTCTGTGACACTAAGAGTCTCCAGAGGCACTTAGCTTTGGAGATGGCCAAACAGACTGGGCTCTACCACTAACTGCAAAGCCTTGGCCAAGTCACCCGCTTCGGTTCTCACATCTAACATCAGAACTGTCTACGATGCAGCTTGAGCATCTTGGGACCTTTCCTCTGACTCCCTCCAATCTGCACATTTCCTCCTCTGGCCTCCTCAATAGGCAGGACACCCTCCTGGTGCTCTGCCATCCCATCCCATCATTGGTGCCCTTCCTGTCTCTCCTGAGAGCTCCCTCAGGGCAGGAATCGTGTCTCATCAGATCTCGGTGTCAGGGCTTAGCACAGTGCTAGGCACAGAGTAAGTACTCAATCCGTATTTGATGAACTGAAAGGAACCTTTGGGGTTGCCCCAGAGCAGGGTTCCAGGTCCTTTCTCTGGGCTCTCTCATCCCAGCGTCAACCGATCAATCCACACGCACTGTGGCAGGGCCAAAGGGCAGAGCAGCAGGCTCCTGCATCTTGGACCCCTGTAGGAGGGACTGGCTGGGAGTGGAGAGGGAGAAGGAGAGAAGGCAAGAGGAAACCACCTAATGCTGACAGCCCTCGCCGGTTTGGCTCAGTGGATAGAGCATCAGCCAGCAGACTGAAAGTCTAGGTTTAATTCTGGCTGGGGACTGGTGTGGAGAGTGGGAAGCACAGGACAAGCAACCAAGGGGAAGAAACCCATTATTTTCTTTGTACTGCAGGCCGGGTTCATCATATCTGATCCCCCTTTAAGCAGCGGGTCTCAAACTTCCATGTATATTAGAATCAGCTTTTAAAAAACCCAGTGCCGGTCAGACTGGAATGGGGGAGAGAGGGCAGGTGGTGAGGTCCAAGCATTGGTGGTTCTGAAAGGCTTCTAGGTGATTTCATTGTGCAGTTGAATTTGAGAATCACTGCTGTTTGAAGTCTCCTGAATCAGCATTAAAATGCAGAACCTCAGGTCCTACCAGACCTAGTGAAGAAAAAACTGCATTGTAACGAGATCCCAGGTGACTTTAAGGGGCATATTATTAGCACCATCATTTTTCCAATGAAAACTCAGAGAGGTTAAGTAACCCGTCCAAGGTCACATCATGGACATTCGATATAAATGGAGAATCCAGACCCAGGTTGGCCTGACTCCAAAGCCCATGTTCTTTCTACTGCGGACATTGCGTTGAGAGCTCCAGGAAGCAGAGCCTGCTAAAAGAGAAGCAACAGGTGTCCAGCAAGAGAAAATCATATCTGACTAATCTCCAAGGTCATTACCGTTCATGGGGAAGCCAGTGGCCAGAATTTTAGAGGTTAAAATGCTCCTGGCAAGGTTCTTCATCCAAGGTTATTCAAAGTCACATGGCGGGTGAGGAGACAGAAAAGGGAAATGTTTTCTCATAACCGAAAGGTGGGTTAGCAAAAGGAAACAGAAATAAATGGGCGTCCCTTGAGATGGAAAAGTGTTCCAATGTTACACGTTGCGGGGACTGGTCTCCGTTGGAAAGTGAGCACTGGTGAAATGAAATGCCCAGAGAATCGCTGGGCTGGGAGAGCTGACAAAAAATGGCAGATGAGCCGAAACCGGTTTGGCTCAGTGGTAGAGCATCGGTCTGCGGACTGAAGGGTCCCAGGTTTGATTCCGGTCAAGGGCAATGTACATTGGTTGCGGGCACATCCCTGGTAGGGGGTGTGCAAGAGGCAGCTGGTCGATGTTTCTCTCTCATTGATGTTTCTAGCTCTCTGTCTCTCTCCCTTCCTCTCTGTAAAATATCAATAAAATATATTTTAAAAAGACCTGACTAATAAAAGTGAGTTAAAAAAAAAAAAGGCAGATGAGCGCCAATGACACTTCTACAGTTTGGGGAAAAGTACTCCCTTAAGGGCAGCTACGAGCAATCAGTTATAAGCCAGAAGGGGGGCAGGTGCGTAGAGGATCAATCTCTATTGTTCCCAGAAGGCATTGGCTTACTATGCTGCCACAGCTAAAAAAGCCAACAGCATCTGGCCAGCCACCATTGTGAAGGCTTTTTAGAAAAAACAACAACAGTCATTCTATCTGCATATAAAACCACGACGAGGCTGAATCTGAAGTAGTGTGCACAGCTCCCTCCCTGTGTCTCCGGGGACTCAAAGGCGAGAGATCCACAGGAAGGCGGCTAAAACCATTCAGAGAAGGGCTATTCTAAGAGACTTCAAAAAATAGGACTCCACTCTGCAGAGACAAAGGAAGGTTAGAGGCTAGACCCGGAAACTATACAACCAAGACAGGTGTGAAGAGCAAAGAGCCAGGTCTTCCCAATCAGTCCTTGTACACAGAGTAAGAGCTTAAATCTTGAGTTTTTAGGATAAATAAAGGGAAGTTCTACTGTTTACAGGTGATAAATTTATGGAATCTGGCATCTCAGAAGCATGAAATCAAATACTGAACAGTTTATGCCCGGCCGATGCTCAGTGGTTTAACATCGACCTGTGACCAGGAGGTTAGGCTTCCATTCCTGGCCGGGGCACATGCCGAGTTATGTGCTCAGTCTCCAGTGAGGGGGGTGCAGGAGGCAACTGATCTATAATTCTCTCTCATAACTGATGTTTCTGTCTTTTTCTCCCTCTCCCTTCCTCTCTGAAACCAATGAAAATATATTTTAAAAATAAAAAATAAATAATTAACTGTTTATTAAGGAATTCTGGGGACATATTTTTAACCTATTATTGTCCTCCTTTCCTTTCAGAAAAAAAAAAAAAGCACTAACATAAAAATAACCACAGAAATAATATGAGAAAAGACCACATTTTTCTCACCATAGCTAATCAGCTTTGGTTATATCTCTGCTTTTACCAGATTTTCCATATGCACACATCATTTTTTCACATCTGTAGACATGGCATAAATACAAGCTTATGTCCTGCTATTTCCACTTTATCAAACATTTCAAGCATTGTCTGTTACTTTCATAATGCTGATGATTATAAATTTAATGATTGCATAATATTTAGAGTGGATAATTTATAATATATTTAATTAACACCCATTATAAGATTATTATTGGTTGTTTATGATGTTTGCAATAAACACCCTTGTCCATATAATTTGCTGCCTTTTTAGGTGACTTTCTTAGAAGGATATTTCAGGGGTGGGTAAAGAGTTATAAATAATGGAGTATCTTAGAACATACTGTCAAGTTACTTTTCTAATGGTTCATACCACTTAAACTACTGTCAGCAATAATAATGGAAGCACTTTTACTAGAATATCAGATGCATGAGGACTTATTATTTTTTAATTGTCTATATATAATAAGATATATAAAATTGAGCATCCCTATTTACTTTATACTCCTATACCTTAAGAGGCCTGATATCCCTTTTACAAAATATACTTTTATGCTTTTATTGGGGTGATTTTTAAGTGAGGAGGTAAATCTCTGATTCAAAACAATTGCTTATTTAACCCACTTTTCTATCTACCCACACCTCGTACCACTCTCTCCTCATTCAACATTCTGCCTGACAATGTCCAAATTGGTTCAAGAACTAGGTAACCGACCCATTTGGACATATGAGCCAGAATTGGAGCTACTAATCAGGCCTGGGATTTGATGTATAAGCCAAGACTACCAGGCCCCCATCCCCATGTCAAGATCCCCAGGACTGGGATCTGTGTTGGTTCTTGCTTATCCACCTTGGTATGGTCCTCCTCTTTAGGACTTCTCCTTCTGGCTGAGCCCGGGACTCCAAGAGAATTCCTGGTCGATGCCTGACTGCCCATTATCACCCCATTCTGTGTGCTCACTGCCCCAGTGCTTCTCTGCCAGCACAGACGTGGTCTGAATGACAACTGAATCTGCCTTATCAGTTACTCACCAAACCTTGCCCACTTGCCCAGCCCACCCACACTATCAGCCAAGCCTGCCTGACAGACCCTGTATTTGTGCTAGAAGAAGGGGTTGACCCTGGCACGAAATCTGTGGGTGGGCCTCAATCCAGGTGCAAGGTCCCTTCCTTCTCCTCAGTCTCAATTCATGCTGTCTGCTTCACCCCACGCTCTGAAATATGTCATGCATGAGCTTCAATTCTTTGCTGAGAAACAGGCTTTTTTCTTCTTCTTGCTTTTGTTTTTTATTTTTCACCATTCCTCTGAGGATACCAGTGGCCACCTTCTCCTTTTCCTCAGAGATCTCTATCCTTAATGATCAACCTATGGAGAGCAGGGAGGGACAGGAATGCCTTCTGTGCCTAGGCCCACTTCAGGCTGGGGGTAGTGAGCAGAAAGGCAGGAAATAGGGGCTTCCTAGTCCCCAGGAAAGGGTCTCTGGAGTTCTAAGCTGCCCGAGTTTCTACCTTTGTGATCTCTTGGACAAAGGAGTACTGGTGGGTGAAGCCTGTGGACAGAACTGGGTTTAGAAAAAAAAAAAAAAAAAAAAAAAAGAACAACAAAAAAAAAGAACTGGGTTTAGTCCTGCTGGTTCTAAATACATCCAGTGTAGCTAAGAGGCCAGCAGAAGCTGTGGGGGCTGGAAAGACAGGCTG